TTTTTTCCTTCCTTCCTTCCTTCCTTCCTTCCTCCCTCCCTCCCTCCCTCCCTCCCTCCCTCTCTCCCTTCCTTCCTTCATTCCTTCCTTCCTTCCTTTCTCTCTTTTTTTTTTTCCCTCCCCTGAGACAGAATTTCTCTGTGAAACAGTCCTGGCTGTCCTGGAACTCACTCTGTAGACCAGACTAGCCTTGAACTCACAGAAACTGGATTTCATTTCTTGGTGGATTGATTGAGTAGTCACATGACTTTGGTATGGGAAGCAAAATAGCCCTGGGAGCTATCTTGAAAAGCTCCAAGAGTGTGGTCGTGGGGCTGTCTCTTGTAATCTGCGGGTTCTGTTGCTTTCCCTCTTTATGGTGACTGGGAATGTGTGCTGTGAGCGTGCCCTGACCTGAAGACAGAGTGGAAGGTCAGAAATGGCCCTTGAATTGAGTGCTGTTTTCCAGCTTGCTCATATTTGCCTCCTATTTCTACTAGTCACAAGAAATAAATATGCTAAGGCAGTTCAGGCTACATGCTACCGTCTTACCTAGGGATTCATATTTTAGAGAGGTAACTTAGGGTAAGTTTTCTGAACTTCAGGGCCAAGAATCCTTGACTAATTATTCAGAGCTTCGGTTTTCATTATGTTCACCTGCATTAACTTACCTCGTCACTTTGCCATGAGCACCTGTCATGATATTTATGGGTTAAAATGGATGAATTTCCTTTGTAGAGAATCACTTAAGAACTTTCATGTATTGCAGAGCTCTTTGTCTTGCAGCTTTAGCTGCACTTTTTGGGCTGACTTAAAACATCCTTATTACTTTGTCCACACATGGTAATGCATCACTGTGCAGCACACTTTGTCTGTGTCTTTATGTACACACGGTAGTGCGTCTTTGGACAGAACACCTTCTTTGTGTCTTTGTCCACACATTACTTAGTACCTTATTGTCCTGCTAGCAGATTAAAGGCTCTCTCTGTACTATAAGCTTTATCATGTGTTCCAATGTCTGGACTAGTTCTCCCTTTTAAAATCATTTGTTTTTCCACATGAGCCTTGGTGTTGACTTGTTTCCTTCTGTGAAAAGATGCTAGTATTTGCCGAGTTATTGCATTGACTGTGTTGACTTCTCTATCTGAGAACACATTGTATTTTCTACGTGGTTTATAGTGACTCGTGTGTCACTTGAACCCTGAGCTGGAGGATTCAGCTAGTTGAGGATGCTCTGTCTCCAATTCATGCCTGCTCAGGGATTACAGACATGTAATTTATTACTGTCATTTATATGGTGCTGGGGATCTGAACTCCAGCCAGGAGGGCTGGCCATTTGTCTCCTGTGGGCTTTGCACAGCTTCCCTCAGTTCTTTTTTCCTAAGCACTTGATTGTAAGACTGTTGAACCTTGAACTCTGTGTAATAGTGCACATTCTTTTTTATGAACTTTGTCATATTCTTAAAAGTTGCTTGTATATTAAGTTGTAAGACAAAAATGTCTATCTGATTATATTGCTATAAATCAGTAGCTTACCATGAAAAACAAAGGAATAAAAGCCCTCTACACTCAGAAATTTAATACTTCCTATTAAAACAACTTCTGATATAAGGGGCAATATAAGCTTAAAAGAAAAGAAGTTTGCAAAAATGAAAATAAAGATACAATATATTCTTGGCTTGCATTCAAGAAATGGTCAAAGGAAACTTAGTTGCACTAAAGACATCAGTAAACAAATTTTAAGAAGTTTTTTTTTTTTTTTTTTTTTTTTTTTTAGAAGTATTAGGGAAATTTATTAAGGTAAATTGGTGAAATACACTCATGAATACAGAACAGAGTAGACAGCTGAAGTCATCCTCTGATCTGACCGGGAGCAAATACACCTTGCAGGCGGGAGCAGGGAGCAGGGGCATATGACCCTTCTCCCTCTCCTTTTAAGAGGTCATGTGCAACAGCAGAAAGCACCACCTCCTTCGGGACCTATAGCCTAAGGTCATGGATGGAGCAAATACCACTACAGGAGAATTCACTTTAAAAAAAAAAAAAAAAAAGAATCCCGATGTTCAAGAGATGACTCACCTGGTAATGCACTTGCTGTATAAGTGTGAAGACTGGAGTTCAGATACCCATCACCATGTAAATGACAGTAATAAATTACATGTCTGTAATCCCTGAGCAGGCATGAATTGGAGACAGAGCATCCTCAACTAGCTGAATCCTCCAGCTCAGGGTTCAAGTGAGACACCCTGACTCAATATATAATGTGGGGAGTGATCAAGGAAGACACCTGTCATGCAATCTCTGGCCTCCACACACATGTACACATGTGAAAAGGCACATACACACACACACACACACACACACACGCACGTACACCAGATTCACAGAAAACTATCACAAATAAATACAGTCCCCCGGAGATGGGCAAGACAACATCCTTTATTCCTTTTTTTTAATTATTTAAGTTTTTTTTTTTTGTTTGTTTTTGTTTTTGTTTTTTGTTTTTTGTTTTTTTTTTTTTTTTTTTTTTGTGGCCTGAGCAGGCGTCTCCATGACGGGTAACGTGACCTGCTGACTTCCCACTTTACCTAAGTCGGAAGCTCATTTATTAGTAAAATGGGGACCTGTAGGGCCCTGGCCCCGATTTGGGTAACTGTTGCCTTGCTTGCTGACCTTGACCTTGATATCCTCCCTATGCTAATTCCCTGCTGGGTTTCACCCTCCTGAATACTTAAGGGAAGTTCCTTGTCTATGTATCCTGCATAATGGGCGTTAACAGCTTAGATGCAAGATTGTAAAACATCTGTTTCGAATTTCTGCCCTCCAGGTTTAGATGTTTTAATGAATGAGTTCCCCAGCTTATGAAAGAATGAATAAACAAAAAACAAATCAAAAGAATGTGCTGGCTTTTATCCTGGTTAGGTGGAGAAGTATTTAGGTCAATCTTGTTTAAGGGATCTAGGTACGAGTAGGATTTCTGCACTGCCTAGAGTTGGGAGTGTTTGTTATCATAGTTAGCACTATGCTGATTTTTGTGTGTGCATTGTTAACACCTAAAGAAACCACCATGAAAACTATACACAGCCATCTACTTAAGACACAAGTCATAAATCAAGATGGGATTCTGAAAATGTCCATGTGGTTCACAGGAAGACAATAGATATCGTATGGAACCTGAGAAAGTAATTTCACAGACATTTCTCTACTTTAACCTGGTAGCCTAGGATAGAAAGTCCTGTCTTCCAAGGTCCTTCATTGTTTTTGTTATCAAGTAAGGCTTTTTTGTTTTACATAAACTTCAGGAATGGGAAGACTTTCCTAGTTACTGCTAATTTAAAGAAATGAGTTTTACTCCTATTCCCTCCCTTGTGTTATATAGAAGGCTCTGTCCTCACTGTTGGTCCTTCAGCATGTGACTTTCCTGCACTGTCACTACTTGTGTAGCCCAGAATGCACCACCAACTCTGAACACCCCACTGAAGGGTCACCGATCCCTCCCTCCTGCTTTTTGAGGATTTTTTTTCCTGTATATACATCATGCTTGCAATCCTCCTGACTCAGCCTCCCTGGTGCCAGGGTTACAGGTGTGTACCACCACCCCAGCTGAGGTGAGACTTTTCTAGGGTGCCTCCTTTAATGGTGGGTAACTGCATGTGAGCTATCCTGCCCTTACTTGCATTCTGTTAGCAGTGAAGAACTACTTTAAGGATGGGGGTGACAGGACCATAGAAAACTCTGAAACCAGATGATTCAAAGAGATGGAAACGATGGCAGTTCTCTCTTTAACACTCAGTCCCCTCTCATCCATTTGACCACACACTGTGAGGTAATATCTTGCCTTTGAGTGATCCGGTGTTGTCCAAACTCTCTGGTCTCCAGAGGGCTCTGCCAAGAGTGTGCGAGTGTGCGGTGGGGAGTTGGGGCTGCTGCCTGCCGTGCCATTTCTAGCCTTGCCTGGGGTTCCTGGTGTCTGGAAGTAGCTCTCTGCATTCTTGAAGTGTCTCCCAGGTTTTGGCTATAGGATGGTTTGACTTTGGCTGATGGTCACACCTAGAGGTGTTGCTCTTTCCTTCTGTGTGGGAGTGAGTTCCAACATGACACTGCCTGGAAGTTGGGAATTATTCATATACTGTAACCCAACTCTGTGGAAACCTAGATTTAAGTTTTCAATTTCCAGGAAAGTTTAACTCTTATATGTTAAGCAAGGAAATTTAGTGACCAGAAACTGTATCCAAAGTGACGAGGGTTATTATCAATAGAACCAGCAGTGAAGGTCCCCTCATTCGGTGTAGTGGGGAAAAAAAAGACGAATTTTGCTTCAGAAAAAGTTTAAATTGAAATTTTTATTATGTATTTCCTCAATTATTTTAATATTCTTCTTCTTGTTTCTAGTTTGCTTAAATTCATTTTATTACAGCCCTGCCTTAAGATCCTCTTTTGTTGTTCATGTTCTGTGGGTTTTGTTGAGACAACTTTACTTGGTAGCCCAGGCTTGCGTACAACCAACTGTTTTGATTATTACTCAACTGCAGTGATTGTCTAGCCACGACACCTCAGTCCCAGTTTATCTCTGTGGTTTTTTATTTTATCACAGTAAAAGCAACTGTAATACAAAGTTGTAAACTGAAGCAGTCATTAAACAAAACCATTGCTAGGCGTGCACGGTGACTGTGTGTGTGTTGTACACTGGATTGAGACATGTGTTTCCCTCACCCTCACCCCTTCCAACTGCATTGTTGGTTTGCAAAGCAACTTATTTAAATATACTTTTTGTTTTTTGTTTTTCCCCAGAGGGAAGTGTAACATCTCCCATTTTTCTGACATATTTGCTGCTCGAGAGTTTAAAGCCCGAGTGGACTCATTTTTCTACATATTAGGCTACAACCCTGAGACAAGGTAAGTGAATCACTTATGCCCATTCAGAGTTTTTCCTTTTCTCACTTACATGTGTATGTACTTGTTCGTTTACGCATCTATACTGAAGTTAGTAAGGTACCAAAAAATGACTCCAAAATCCTGTGTAAACCTCATAGTTAGTGCCTTCAGCATGTGGCTTGTCGTTTGCTTTTCCTTTTATTAGGCAAGAAAAGGTGCAAAGTAAGGGTGTAGAGAGGAGGGATAAGGATAGAGCACATCTGTCGGTCTGTGCTTTGAACCTCTGGTAGATCATTTCCTTCATGCAGACTTTGTTAAGCCTTCCATAATGTGTTGGAAACAGACATGTCTGGCTGGAGAGATGGCTCAGAGGTTAAGAACACTAGCTGCTCTTCCAGAGGTCCTGAGTTCAATTTCCAGCAACCACATGGTAGCTCACAATCATCTATAATGGGATCTGGTGCCCTCTTCTGGCGTGCAGGCAGAACACTGCATACTAAATAAATAAATAAATAAATAAATAAATAAATAAATAAATAAATAAATAAATAAATAATCTTTTAAAAAAAAGAAAGGAAAGAGACAAGTCAGTTTGGAAAGGTTGTTAGTTCTTTCTTGTTTAGTTTGCTTTAGGTAATGAGATCTCAGGAACATTCACTAAAAGGTCTGGTGAGACCAGTAGTAGGAAATGGACAGTACCTGTTCCCGCCATTTTGGTAAGGTGTACATGAGTAACAGAATAATAAGTATTTACATGTGTAAGGAGTCTTTTTCTGTCCCACCAGCCAGTTCTCAAATAATGACATGGAGACTTCTTTAATCATGAGATCTCGACTTATAGCCTAGGCTTGTTCCTAACTAGCCCTTATAACTTAACCCATTTCTGTTAATCAGCATTCTGTCACACACCGCCCATCCTGCTTCTGTGTCTCCTGGTGGTCTCTTGAGCACCTAGATTCATCGCCTGCCTAGGTATTGGCCATTCAATTCTTTATTAAACCAATCACAGCAATATGTCTTCACACAGTGTACAAATATCTCACAACATATATGAAAGGTAGTGAGTGGCTATGAAAAATACACTTCACCAAAAAGGCACACATCCTGAAAGTGGAAGATGGCCCTAGTCCTGGTTAGCTTGAACTTTAACTTGACAAAGCCTAAAGTCATCTGAAAGGAGAATCTCATTGAGGACTTAACTGGGTCAGATTGACTTATAAGCATGTCTCTCAGGGGTTGACTTGATTGCTGATTGATTCTGGAGGATCCAGCGTACTGTGGTTAGCACCATTTCTTAGGCAGGTGATCTTGGGCTGTATAAGAAAGCTAGATAAGGGCTGGAGAGATGGCTCAGCAGTTAAGATCTCTGGCTGTTCTTGTAGAGGTCCTGAGTTCAATTCCCAGCAACCACATGGTTGCTCCCAACCACCTGTAATGAGATTTGGCGCCCTCTTCTGGCCTTCAGGCATACATGCATGCAGAACACTATACATGATAAATAAATCTTTTTTTTTTAAAGAAAGAAAGGAAGAAAGCAAGCAAGCTAGATAAGCTGGATGGTGGTGTTGGTCACCTTTAGTCTCAGTACTCAAGAAGAAGAGGCAGGCGGATCTCTTGAGTTTGAGGCCAACCTGATCTACAGAGTGAGTTCCAGGACAGCCAGGCCTGTTACACAGAGAAACCCTGTCTTGTGGAAAAACAAAGAAAGAAAGAAAAACTAGCTAAGGGAATGGAGAGATGGCTCAACAGTCAAGAGTGCTTGCTATGCTTACAGAGGACCCAAGTTCGGTTCCCAGCACTCACATGGTGACTCAGAACTACCTATAACTTCAGTTACAGAAAAAGAATCTCATACCCTTTTCTAGCCTCTGTAGGTTTCTGCACACACATGCTACTCATAAACTAATGTAGGCAAACACAAGTACACATAAATAAAATTAATTTAAAAACCTAAATAAATTTTTTAGAAGACAGAGAGAAAAAAGAAAAGCCAGGTGGTGGTGGCACAGACCTTTAATCCTAGTACTCGGGAGGCAGAGGCAGGTGGATCTCTGAGTTTGAGACCAGCCTGATTTATAGAGCAAGTTCCAGGACAGCCAGGCTGCAAAGAGAAACCTTGTCTTGAAAAATCAAAAAAAGAAAAGTAAAGAAAGCTAATTAGGTATGTCTTCATGGTTACTGCTGTCCTTCTTTGGCTATGAAGTGAGTTTCTTGGTTAGATTTGCTGCTTGTGTGGAATGGCAAGCAGGGTTGCCTTGAAGTTCCTTCAGTGATGATCTAGAGTTGTAGGCTAAAACAAACCTTTCTTTCCCTATGCTGCTTTTTGTCAGAATGTTTTATCACAACAAAAATGAAACCAGAACACCTGTTAGCATGCCAATCACCTGGACACTGAAAACAAGCAGGGAGAGCCCTGGTTCCATGTGCTAAAATGATGCCAAGCCTTAGAAGAGATGAAGGTCACTGTGCAGCAGCAAAGGGAACAGTTTATTTGGAGATTTTTGTTGTTTTCAGTCACACACACACACAGACACACACACACACACCCCACAGGGTCTCACTACGTAGACCTAGCTGGCCTGAAACTCATAGAGACCTACCTGCTTCTGCCTCCTGAGTACCAGGATTAAAGGCACCAGGCTCCATTAGGAGATTATAACAGTTGCAAATAGATGTGCACTGAACATTGAGGCTAAAACAAATACTGCTTCACAGAAAGGTCCAGATAGGTAGAAATAAAAATGATAATGGGTGATTTTTAGTAGCTCATTGTCATCAATGAATATGGTCATCCACATCTCCTGTTCCAACTCCACAAATCAACAAAGAAACTTCAGGGTTAGAACCACACTGCAGAGCAAAGGGATTTAACAGATGCCTAGAAAACAACTGCAAAACACACAATCTTTCCATAAACAAATACATTTTAGGTCATTACAGAAATCCTTACAGGGGCTGGAGAGATGGTTTGGCAGCGTAGAGCACTTGTTGCTCTCACAGAGGATCTGTATTTGATTCCCAGGATCCACATGATGGCTCCCAACTGTTGCGGCTCCAGTTTAGGAGATTGCACCATTCCCAGGATCTTGGGCCTGTTCCAGGCATGCATATGGTATATGTACATACATCCAGACTGAACACTCATATGTATAAAATAAAATAAGTAAATCTTAAAAATGTATTTTTCAAATCCTAACAAAGAAAAACCATTAAAATGATATTTTAGATTTTATTAACTCATAGCAGATTAAGGTTCAAAACCAATAGCAAAAGAAATTACAGAAACTATGGGCTCAGGAGATAGCTCAGCCAGGAAAACGCTTGCTTGGCACACATGAGGATCCAAATTCAGTCTGCAGAACCCATGTAAATAAAAGCATGCATTGTGGTGCTTTCCCTTACAATCCTAGCATCAGGGAGGCAGAAACTGGAGCTTGATGGTCAGCCAGTCTAGTCTAGTTGGCAAGTTCCAGGTCAATAAAAAGACCTTCTTGGTCAGGAGGTGGTAGCATACAACATTTAATCCCAGCACTCAGGAGGCAGAAACAGGCAGATCTCTGAGTTCGAGGTTAGCGTGGTCTACAGAGAGAGTTCCAGGACAGCCAGGACTACATAGACCCTTCAAAAGAAACAGAGTTGGTGTCTTCTGGCTTGTGCACACATGTGAATGAAAACACACACACACACACACACACACACACACACACACACACACACACACACACACACACTCTATACACATACTCATGAATGAACAGTGGGTCATTGAAGAAATTAGAGCTGGAATTTAAAAATTCTTAAAAGCACATGAAAATGAAAACACTACTTAACTGAACCTCTGGGATGCCATGAAGGCAGTTCTACAAAGACATGTACTGCTATGAAGGCTTACATTAAATATCAAGAGACAGCTGTATGTTACATGCAGCATTCTAGACACTGCCCTCTTGCAAAATTACTCAATAAACTATTCTTGCTTTAAAAACCACAGAGATATCGACATTAACATTAGGTTTAATGATGCACTTCAAGGTCATAGAAAAACAAGAACAAGCCTAACCAACCAAAAACCAGTAGATAGAAATAATTAGGATCCAGAAAGAAATTAATGAAGCAGAGCCTTAAAAACAGTACAATAAGTCAACGAGCTGGTTCTTTGAAAATTTAAATTGACAAGAAGCAACAACTTGGATTAATACATTAGAGATGAAAATTGGAACATTACTTCAGGTAATAATGAAGTCCTGAGAATTATGAGGGAATATGTTGAATAAGCTGTATTTCAGAAGCTGGAAATATTAGGAAAAAATGGATAAATAAATATGATCTCACTAAAACAGCATTCAGTTTGCCTAACACAGGAATGCTAGTTTGAGTTCACTCATACTTTCCTTGGGTAATAAAAGACATGATATTGTACATATTTAAAACTAACATTTCATAATATAAGAGACTGCCCGATCTGGTGGCTCAGGCTTGTAATCGAAGCTACTTGGGAGGTTGAGGCAAGAGGATCACAAGTTCAATATCTACCTTTGCTACAGAGTAAATTTAGAACCAGCCTGGGCAACTTGATAAGACCTTCCCTCCAAATTAAAAGTAGAAAGGGTTTGGAATGTAGCTCAGTGGTAGAATGCTTGCAAAACATGCATAAGGCCCAAGAGTGAGAGAGAGGGACAGTGACTTGCAATGTTACTATCAAATACGTTCTTAGTACATGCATGGCCTATGTTTGAAAATGAAAAGCTCAAATTTCATTTTGCTAGAGAAAACAGACCCTCATAAAGGTAGTAAAAATTGATTCCTGGGCTGGAGAGATGGCTCAGAGGTTAAGAGTACTGGCTGCTCTTCCAGAGGTCCTGAGTTCAATTCCCAGCAACCACATGGTGGATCACAACCATCTCTAATGAGATCTGGTGCCCTCTTCTGGCCTATAGGCATATGTGTAGGCAGAACACTGTATACATAATAAATAAAATTAAAAAAAAAAAAATTGATTCCTTATAGGGCCATCTAAAATGAAGATAAAAACAGTTTAAGTAGGGGCTGGCTCAACTGTTAAAAGCCCTTGCTGTTCTTACAGAGGTCTCAGGTTTGGTTCCCAGAATCCACATTGTTGCTCATGACCATCTGTTACGTCAGTTCCAGGGGATCTGACACCCTCCTCCTCCATGGACACTAGGCTAGCATGTGGTGCATAGACATACATGCAGGCAAACTCATACACATTAAAAAAAAAACTGCAAAAAAAAATTTGGCTAGTTTTTTCTTATACCAATAATGAATTTACCAAGAAGGGGACTCAAGAAAAAAAATTGCATTCACAGTAGCTTTAAAGAAAAACTGGGCTGGACTGGTAGATGGTGACATATGCCTTTAATCCCAGCACTCATCCCAACAGTGGCAGAAGCAGATGGATCTCTGTGAGTTTGAGGCCAGCCAGACCTGTTACACAGAGAAGCCCTGTCTTGAAAAGCCAAAAAACAGGGGGGTGGGGCTGGGTACTGAACTAGCACATGCAGGCTGTGTGTTCAGTCCCTAGTGCCACAGATTTACCCCTTCCCCTGCATACCAGGAATAAACCTAATCAAAGAAGGAAGACTTTTATAATGGAAAATTTAAAAACACTGCACTGGGGCTGGAGTAATGCCTCTTATAAGAACACATAAAGCTCTTCCAGAGGACCTGGGTTCAGTTCCCAGCACCTACATCAGATGGCTTATAACCACCTGTAACTCTAGCTCCTGGAGATCTGACATCCTTGTCTGGTCTCCATGGACACCCAAGTGTACATATAAACACATGTAAATTAAAATAAATATGCAGAAAATAATACAATTTTTAAAGCCCTCTACTCTAAAGACACTTAGAAGAAAAGACCTCCCATGCTTATAAGATTGCAAAATTAATACTGTGTAAATAGCTTATTCCTAAAGCAGTCTGGAACTAGTGTCATCCTCATCACTTTCCATTGATGTTCTTTATAGAACTAAAGGTAATCTTAAAACTTAGGTGGAAGCACCAAGTGTTGTAAGTAACTAAAGCAACTCTAAGCAGAAAGAGCAGCTTGGGGAGGTTTGTGATACCTGACTGGAAGTATACCACAGAGCTAGCTATAGGAACATCAACAGGGTGGTCCTGGCACAGAGTCCAGCTACAGCCACCAGGTTTTCAAAAAAGATGCCAGAACATAGACACAGTTCTCTATAAGACCTGAAACTGAAGAAGACTCTACTAGCTTACTAAATAATAGTAAGAATTGACCAGTGATGTTACATGAAGTAAAATCCTTCTGTAAGCGAAGGAAACAGAGTCTACTAAGTGGGAGAAAGCCCTTTGCTGACTCTACATCTTATGTTTTCTTTGATGAGATGTGAGTGAGGGGAGAGTGAGAGTTAGGAAAGTGGAGGGGATAATGGGAAACAACAGTGTCATGGAGACAAAGGAAAGGCAAACACCCTCATTTTCTCATATGCAGAATTTAAGTCTTTCCAAATATATATATATATAGGACACGAAAGTAGGTGGGTGGCCATGTGGGGGAGGAGTTATATAATGTGTATTTTCTCTCATACATGGAATCTAGCTTTACCTAATGTGAATTTCATTTATAGGACCAATCTATTGCAGCTCAACCAAAGACTGGTGTTTTGGAAAGAAAATACCATATATTTTCTTTTGTTTGCTTTTTAAATCAAGAATACTAATTGTTACAAAACCATCTACAATAATTGGATCTGTGATCTTTTCAACTCTAAAATGCAAAAGATCTGAAAACCTAACAGTTTATGTTCAGTGACACCAGAATTCATTTTGTGACCACACCTCACTTACACTGATCTGAGACTATACTTGTAATTTAGTGTACTTTGTGTAAATTTGCCCATTTTATTAAAAAAAAATGTAGTTATAGCTTAGGTGCTCCTGGGATGCTATATACTATATCATGTGGTCATTATGATTGAAAGTTCCTAACCCTGAAAAACCTCTGACCCTAAGGGTCTCAAATTTAGATAAGGGAATGTGACCCCATCCATTTTCCCTTGTCATTTAAGGAGCTAAACTTTCTGCTCAAATAAAGTGTGAAGGGTGAGTGACATGTGAGAGCTTTCCAGCAGCCTAACCTCGAACCCTCAGTATTCAGCTCTGATTTCAGAGTCTGTTTCTGACATCCACATACTCAGGGAAAATTCACTGGTCTTATGTGAACAAGATTCATCCCACGTTTACTTCTGTGGGTGATTGCTCTCTGCAAAATAGTGTTATTGTGCTTTCCTTTTATATGAAGAATCTAATTCAAACTCTACTGACTACTTACAAAATAAATTTCAGGCTAGGCAGTGATGGCTCACTCCTTTAATCCCAGCAATTGGGAGGCAGACAAGTGGATCTCTGTGAGTTCAAGGCCAGCCTGGTCTACAGAGTAAGTTCCAGGACAGCCAGGGTAGTTACACAGAGAAACCCTATCTCAAAATCCCCACCCCCAAAAAAGGAAAGAAGATCTTGGTAAACAGAACCAGTTAGACCTGCTGTACAGTCAGCCAAAACCCCAGAGTCTTTGGTTGAGCTTGCAATAGATTGGTCTTAACCATGGTTCTTTGTCTCTTTTCACTGGCCTTACTTGCTTCACCTAGTACCTCATATCCATTTAATTGACTGCTTCATCTTTTGAGTTAAGATCAGCCCTGGGAAAGACTGTTTCCTTTTGAATCTGGCATGCCTAGGCTCTAGTCTCATGCGGCCACTTTATCTTTATGTCTGTCAGTGAGGTATTCATTTCCTGGAATCTGTTCTGCATCCATCATGTGAAGGTGGTCATAGTTAACCCTGCAGGTGACTTGTGTAAGGTTTTGGAATTTTTGTAACTTCTTGCTAATTATAGGAGTAGTTATATATTTTCATTGACAAGGTGCTACATTCTTTTTTTTTTTTCCTACACATTCTTTAATCTCCTGAAAGATCTTTGTGCAACTTTGGGGATGAGCCACTAGAGCTGCATAAGCATTTTCTTGGTTGCTCTCATGTCTGAAAGTTTTCCTTGTGCTAAAAGGCCTTCAGCACAATAGGATAAAAGCCCAGATCTGATTATTACAGTAACTTTTTTCCTGAAAACATCCTCAGATATTGAATAAAATATTAAATAAGTCTAGTGTGAGCCTTAGGTCAGGTTTGTTGTTGGTCTCTAGGAAGCCTGTGTGTGACCCAGAAAGTCTGAGGACTCAAGGAGGAGATAATAAAAAGTACACTCATACTGGTGAAGCCCCATGATAGAAAAGTATTTAAGAAGTTTTTGGAAGGATATACCTGTTGGTATTAATGGATTTTTCAGAACCTAGCTCAGTCGGTAGAGCATGAGACTCTTAATCTCAGGGTCGAGGGTTTGTGTCCCACGTTGGGCGCCACTTGTAGCTGGAGAGTTTTCTCGCCAAGCCCCGGCTGTCCGACAGCCCACTTATAAAATAAACACATAGACGCTTATATTATTTAAACTGTTTGGCCTAATGACTTAGGCTTTTTGTTAACTGTTCTTATATCTTAAATTAACCCATTTCTATAAATCTATACCTTGCCACATGGCTTGTGGCTTACCGGCATCTTCACTTGCTGTTTGTCATGGCGGTGGCTGGCAGTGTCTCCCTCTACCTTCCTGTTTTCTCAATTCTCCTCTCTGTTCATCCCGCCTATACTTCCTGCCTGGCTACCGGCCAATCAGTGTTTTATTTATTGACCAATCAGAGCAACACATTTGACATACAGACCATCCCACAGCATATACCCTTGTGCAAGATTGTGCAGGATGGCCACAGATAAACTGAGAATGTTGAGCTTACACTTAGAAATGACGAACATTAAAAGAAAAGTCATTCACCACCAACTAACTATAGTCAGTAAAAGGAACAGCAAATGATGAGGCCAACATCAGATACTAGTGTAAACAAGTGTGTCAGGAATCACTTCTAGGCTGTCACAGGGACCCAGCTCTCTGAGAGCCCCAGTTTCGACTGTTGTCTGGATTTTCAAATGAAGAGTGTAATGGTAGCCACTTCTAGACCTGGGCAAAAGAGGAAGTAGGTAGGACTGCACGCCTTCTCCCTTTGGTGGAGAGCTGGCACAGCTGCCTTTTCTTCCTCCCCAGTAGCCAACAACAGAATGTCAGGTCTGTGCTTTGCAGGTGAATTCTGCCATCGTTGGAGAACAGACACAGGTGGGAAGGCTCTCCTCCTCACTTATTAAGAGTGAGGACTTCAGGCTTGCTCTGGATTTCGGCCATTGGTGTCATCCAGGGAATCTAGTGAGACCAGACAATAATTTTGAAAATATGACTTTCTAAACTTAGAGTAACATTTTATGTGATAGTTCCTATGTTTTTTTTTTTTTTCAGCATTCAGGTGGCTCTATTGAATTATTATTCCATGTTATTTTTTCACGTGAACCTTTCCTATGTGAAAGGGTTTCTTTGGTACCAGTCTCGTTCCGAGGCTCTCCATTTCAGCAGGTCTCGGGGATGTGAACTGCAGCAGTTCTGGGAATGTTCTTCCGGTCTGCCGCCCTGTTTTCCTGTGTTGGGATGTATCTGGTTGCACCCATGCATTCTTGTTCTCCCTCCTCCCTTCTGTCTCCGAAGACCTTTTACACAGCTGAGAGTGGCCTTGAACCCTGAGTGTCTCTCCCCCCCCCCCCGCCCCCCCATGCTATGATTACTAGCAGCACACCTGGCTTAGAACTGAGGCTCCAACTCAGAGCTTGGTGGATGTTGGGCAAGCACTTTTATCACCTGAGTCACATCCTCAGCCCTTGGCATTTCTGGTATGTTGTAGATTATGTTTTCTGCAGCTGAATGTGTAGATTCCTCATCTTAGAATGTGCTTTGTTTCATAGCATATACAAAGGGCCCTGCACATGAGACTGCCAGTAGTATGCTGCTGTGAGAATCTCTAGGTGACTAAGTGTACTTCTGAACAGAAGCAGTTGGTCCTGCCTTTTTTTCCCAATCTTGTCTTTCATGTTTTGGGGGATCTTGTGATCTTCATTTTTTTTTTTTAATTTATAACTAAGTGATGTAAAAATCGCCATTTGATTCGCAGGTGGGAATAACCTACATGTCAGCTGTTTCTTACTTGACAAACAGCTCCTTTGCTCTTTGTGGGAGATGAACACTGGATGAAAAGACGGATTTGTTTTGCAGGGTTTTATCAGAAACTCCCTTGGCTAGTCTGTAGGTAGTGTGAGTAAATACTTTGGTGCTCAGTATTGCTATAAGGTAGCCTTATTTACATGGCTTTAGAAATCCTTCAGAATGAGCTTTTAATAGATTTAGTTTCATGGATAGTGCTGTGAGGGTTTGGCTAAGAGAGTTGAAACAGGGAATATGGAATGTGGGTTTTTTTCCTGGATGCTGAGGTGTTTATAGCGGATGATCTTTTGGTGTGGGGAGGCAAAAGAATGCACATTTGCTTTATGTTGGGGATGGGTGTCAGCCCACCATTATGGTTCATGCTGGGTGAGTACTCTACCTCTGAGTTATACCCCTTCGTCCCCAAGTCCTTGATTTGAACCTTCTAGCTGTTTTTGTTAGAATTCCATTTTTCAGGACCTGACTGAGCTCCTATTCATTACCTGAGGATGATTTATCACTTGGCAATTTGGAGCTCTTTGCATTAAACATAGCATTCTTTCCTGTGTAGTGCCGTCTGTCTCCACTGACTGTACTTAAAGTGGCTAGCTTGCTTGTTTGTTCTTTTTGTCAGGAAAAAAAAATGATTTGGTTGCTTCTTGTGAGCCCTGGTGCTATGCTTAAGTGTGCTGCTGGGTTTCCGTGTTTAATCCCAGGTGCAACCATTCATATCTGGTTTCTCATTTTTGTTCTTTCTTGAAAAAAATGGTTACTTAAAAACATAATCTACTTAAAACTAGGAAAGACAAAAGGAAACTTGGTGTTGTCTCCTGTGGACAGACGCCTCTCCCTGGCTTGGCTTGTGGAGTTCTTTAGTGTTGGCTGTCTGGAATCCCCTTTCTAAGGCCCCACTTCTCTGCACACTAGCTTGGTGTGCTGGGAGAAGCTTTGGAGTCTGTTGGCTGGGCTTTATTTACGGAAACAGCAGGGTTGAGATTGATTGCGTTGTGGAGAGACAGTGTGTGGATGAGGGAGGGTCACAGCACATGCTCAGTCCTGTCAGTGTGAGGGAAGTTTCTGCGTTCTGCGTGAAGGCTTAGGTCATAGCACAAGCTCAGTGAGAGCTCTGTGAGGTCTCTCAGCCTGCATGTGCCTCCATTTTGAGTACTTAGAGTAGAAAAGGGCAGAGTTTTAGCAGTAAGTAGAGATACAGGATCCAGCTAGACTCACCAGAGCCTCTCTTAGTCATGGATGATCCATTCAGCCCCTGCAGGTAGGCGATCTTCCCCTGGCCTCGCGGAGACACTGGCTTTGCTGCTTGAGCTCCTTCTAAAGATGTTTATGAATCATCGCGCCATTCACAGTGCATGTTCCAGAGCCTTTGATTCAGCCAGCTGGCCACGCAGAGGTGGCATTGAGAAGCATAAAATGAGAGCTGTGCGTGGGGTCTACCCAGAGATGAATTAAGCAAATGTAGACTGTGAAGCTTTGTGAGTCTGTCTGTGTCCTCTTCCCCATTCCCTCACCTCCTGTTCTCTTCGGTGATTTTAGCCTGAGTTTGCCCGGTGCATTTGGTAGAGTTTGTCTGTCTTCAAAACCTGCAGAGCAAACCTGCAGGCTGCCTCATTGCCCAGTGCCTTGTAGGGATTGCCGGGCCACAGAGCTGATCTGTTTGGCTGTTTTAGGAAGGGTGGTAGGTGGGCAGCTATTGGTTGCTTTGAAGGTGGGTGGAACTTGTTTTGATTGAGAGCCTGTTTGCTAGAGCAAATTATAATTCTTGTGAGGTGACACATGAGGGAATGGCTGTGGATATAGTTGCAACTGTATCATCTTCAAGTGGGTTTTTAAAAAGGAGCTGTCATGGCACATCAGTTTTTCTGTTTCTTCTGAGGGAGCAAAGCCTTCTCTTTGGAGTTTCCTTCCAGCTTTGGGAGACTAAACACACTGACATCTGTGTTAAAATTCAGATTAATATACTTTTACGTATTGTATGTTTGATTTAGCTTTGTGGTATGTGTGTATTTTGCATGAATTAAGTTCAGTAGGAGAGTGGAAAGGGTTTGGTGCCAAAGAAGGCAGACAAGGCCACACATATTTGGTATCTGTGCCTTAATGTCTGGCCACTAAGTAGCCCTTTCTACCCAGGTGAAGTTATGCTTTTTGTACCTACTGTTTGTAGAGAGAGCCCAGGCAGGTGGCCATCACTGTGGTTTACTAGGGAGCCAGTCAGGATAAGCAGATTTTGCACAATGGAATTCTTACTCAAACAGGGAGTTAGAGAAGTTTGGGATTGCTAGCTGCTTCTCATTTCCTCTCCCCCTTCCCCCGATGGGGTGGGAACAATTTAGAAACAGCAGTCAGGCTCTGCGCAGATGTGAGGACTGCAGAAAGCGCCCTAAGGTAGAATGTGCACCCAGGTGAGGAGAAGTCCACCAAGGAGGGAGGCCTGTGTAAGTGCTCAGCTGGAAACATGGATGTAAGATGTAGAGCTTTGTGTGATGAACTCTAGTAAGAAGAGGCCTCTGACTGGGGCAGGGTTTTAGCAGTGCTAACTTTTAAAATATTCCTAAAGCAGGCTTAATTTTAGAATTAGAGCCAAAGTGATGCTGTATAGAGGAGTGAAGCAGGGTTAGTCTTTGTTGATAGTTCTGTGTTTGATTCCCATTCCTGTGATGGCCCCTTTCTATTTTGACAATGTATATTTGAACAGTGTGTTTAGAAGTTTGAGGATAATACCCAGTATTTCCCAGAGTGCTTGCTTCTGGAACAAGACCATATGTTTGAGTATTTGGGAGAATACTGATTTTTCTGTTGAAAGGTCTTTACATCCTCTTTTTAGTTAAAAAAAAAAAAATTGGGTCAGGGGCTGCTGTTCGTTTGGCTGGCTTTTCTTGGTGTAGACCTGCTTTCATGGTACTTTGGTACAGCCACCTGCCTTGCTGGTGAAGATTTAGAGTTCATGGAAGTACTGTGGATGGCCTCTGGGTTTCAGAGTTGATTTTCTTTTTCTGTGCTTCACATGCAATAAAGTCAGCAGCACTGTTTCCTGTATGTATGCATTTGTTCATTTTCCTGTCTAGAGAAAATATTTTTGGAAAGTTGCTTCTGAACTGCTGTCTCCTGTCCAGGGCTTTGGGGCGTATCTGGTGGTGGAGAAGGTGAAGGATAGCACTGCAGTTGCTCCTGGTTAGTGAGGGCCTTTGTGCAGGTTTATCAGTAGAAAACACGAGCCAGTTCCCTTCTGGCTCATCCCTCACTTGTTGTTCTAGGGAATAGAAGGTCGTGCTTCCTGGGGGCAGTCAGTTGTCAGATCTGCTATCCTGCTGCCTGCCACCTCATTGCCCATGGAGCTAGAACCCTGACTTGAATCTGAGAGAAGCTGAGCATTGCAAGTGTGGGAGCAGCACACGCAGCCTGATCTGGTGGGCAGCCTGGACACACTTCCCATGTGTCATTCATGCCGCTTTTTAATACCATCAGCTTCTCACAACATCTTCCTGGTGTGTTCCCTTGTTGAGGCAGCTCCTCACCTCAGTGTCTGCCATGCTGTTGGCTCTCTAGTGTCACGGGTTCCTGATCCTTTCTTCCTTCTAAGTTCCCTTTTCCTTTCCACTTTGCTTTTTGTCCTCACTGAGCCACGTTCCTCCTACCAAAGACACACTAGTCCTAACCTTGTGGCAGATGTGGACGGGATGGGAGAAGGCAGGAAACACCAGCTAAAGGACGGCTTTGAAAGCATGTACTCATGAGTCTTCTGAAGAAGCACACAGAGTCGATGATCTTCTGTATCATAAAATTTCTGACCCAGGTGCCACAGGTGCTTGGATATATGTTTAAAATAATTGTGAAAGGAAACTTACCTTTTACATTTTGTGTGCCCTGTGATGCTCTGACACTAAGATGAACTGTTATTTAATTCACCTAGGCTAGAGATAATTTCTGGTAACATTCTTTAAAATATACATTTACTTATGGTTATTTGATTTTCTTCCCTGTTGGACAGGGGTCACACCTATTCTTATAACCTCTGTTCCTAATGGAGAGCCTGGCAGATGGATCGTTTTTGTTGGGGGAAGAGGAGAGACTGAGATAGGGCTCATTGTGTAGCCCTGTCTGACCTAGAACCTCGAGATCTACCTGCCTTTGGCACTCAAGTGCTGGGACTGCAGGTGTGCGCCACTGTGTCCTACACAAATGGATCTTTGACATCAGTATGCTCAGATGGCTGTGGAGGCACAGGCCTTTAATCCCAGCGCTTCAACAGCAGAGGCAGGTGGATCTCTGTGAGTGTAAAGCCAGCCAGGGCTATATATTGAGGCCCATTTTCGAAAAAAAATCAAAACCACAAAACAAAACTTATGTTCAGTACCATCCTTATGTCAGGAGTAAGAGAAATGACTAGCTCTGGAGCCAGGTGGTGTTGGGATTCCACATGGGAAAAGCTCTGCCTCTTGTAAAGACTGGTGAGAACAGTATGAGAATGCTTATTGAGTTGTCATAATTCAAAGTCCTCGGCTCCAGTTTCTTGCAGGTATGTTTCTCTTAGTAGCAAAACAGCATTAGCAATTGTCTTGGGAATGAAGGTTCTTTGTTACCAGCTGTCCACACTTGACTAATCTGCCTCCTTCTGTCTCATTTTCAGTATTTGTCTTTATTCCTCTTGAAAAAACTTTTCCCCTGTTGTAAAGATTGACCCCACAACCTGACACCTAGTTGGTAGTTAAGTGCTCCGCTACTAACTAAGCTGTGTACGCCACCGTCTTCTTTGTATCGTGAGACAGGATCTCACTAGGCTGCCTAGACTGTCCTCAAACTCGAATTCCCACTGTTTCAGCCTCCCTGGGAGCTGGGATTGTAGGCGCATATCACACTCCCTTCTCGGTCCTGAAATTTTGTTTTTATTTATCTTATTCTACATACCTCATGCTTGCCTGGTGCTGCCCAAAATCACCAGAAGAGGGCATTTAGTCCCCTGGAATTGGAGTTATAGACAGCTATGAGCCACCATTGTGGGTACTAAGAATTGAACCCGGGTCCACTGAAAGAGCAGCTAGTACTCTTTTAACTCTTAACTATCTCTCCAGCCCCTGAAATTGTGTTTTTATTTTTATTCTTTATATTCATTCATTCATTTATTTATGTAGTTTTTTCGAGATAGGACTTCTCTGTGTTTAGCCCTGGCTGTCCTGGAACTCACTTTATAGACCAGGCTGGCCTTGAACTCAGAAATTGTGTTTTTAAAGATGGTCTCCTATATATGTGGTAACATCTGGTGTTTCCATTTTTTTTCTTTTAATTTTTTTTTTTTAATGTGCATTGGTGTGAAGGTGTCAGATCCCCTGGAACTGGAGTTACAGACAGTTGTGAGCTGTCATGTGGGTTCTGGGAATTGAACCCTGGTCCTCTGGAAGAGCACCTGTGCTCTTAACCGGTGAACCATCTCTCCAGCCCCTGGTGTATCCAGTATAGTTACACATATAAGGCAGTCAATTGGTGTCGTTTGCCTCTTTGCCCAGCACATTCACAGCACTACAATAAAGAGGAATTAGGAGATGGCTTTGTCTTTAAAGCATTTCAGACTCTTCCCATTGAGACAGAGAGACCTTGGAAATGTGTTGTAGTCCTGCTTACCAGTTCTGTGATTTCTCTCTGCAGGTTTATGTAGTGTGATTTCAGTTCCTGGAAAGTCCTTTCTTTGCTCAGGAGATCAGCTCAATTCTGGAGGGCAGCTGTTATGTTTTTCTTCATGATAGGGTTTTTAAAAGATAATTTGTAGCCAGGCAGTGGTGGCACACCCCTTTAATCCCAGCATTTAGGAGGCAGAGGCAGGCCAATCTCTGTGAGTTTGAGGACAGCCAGGGCTGTTATAGAGAGAAACCTTGTCTCCAAAACCACCACCACCACCACCACCACCACCACCACCACCACCACCACCACCACCATAATTTGTTTGCTAAAGCTTGGTATGCATATATGTGCATATGCCCCCACCCCCCTCTTGGTTTTTCAAGACAGGGTTTCTCTGTGTGCCTGTTCTGGATCTCACTCTGAAGACCAGGCTGGCCTCGAACTCACAGAGATCTGCCTGGCTCTGCCTCCCGAGTGCTGGGATTAAAGGCGTGCGCCACCACCACCTGGCCTCCATGCACTTTTGTTGTTATGCTGTGGTTGTTAAGCTATTTCATTTGTGCAGCAAATGGAGGCAGTAAATTCCCGGGGAGCCTGAAGTGGGACAGAGTTGGATGTCATCGTGAGGTACCCTATGCTGATCACTGCATTGCAATGCAGACAACGAACAAGACTGTCATCGCACTTGAAAGTAGCTCCTTCTCATTTGCTGTCCACCCAGTCTTCCTCATAAATACTAAGTAGATCTTCCTTTTTCCTTTCCTTTATAATCCATTCAGCCTTCCACCTCCTCCACCCTTGGGCTCAATCCCGAGTGCTAAGGTTTCAGCCTTGTGCCCCCACCCCCAATTGTAACAGTTTTAAACCCGTTTCTCTGCTCTGAAGTTGTTTGGAGTGAAAGGCTGGGGTTATGGTTCTTACCAGGGTAGACAGTCTTGTTGCTCCTCGGCTGATGCTTCCTTAGTTCTGGACACTGGATTCTATTTTGGAAAAGCCTATGGGAGAACTGCTTCTGTGGTTAATTGCTGTGACTTTCCAAGAGAGTGGCTTTCTTTCCTCAGGCCATACCGTCTTCTGCAGAGCTGTAGGGTTGTGGCCAGGCTTCTCAGCTTTATCCGAGGCCTTTATACTGTGACTCCAGCTCCAGGCCTATGTTGACTTCACGCCCATGAGTGTGGACCATCCACTCATTCTCTTACTGATTAATTCTCTCATTTGATTGTTTTTTAAATGAAAGCTAAATTTTATTCCTGTTAGATAATTTATCATACCTCTTTTCAGATTAACTTTGCTTAGAGGATACCAGTGACTTTATTATTTTGGAATAAAGCTCTTAAGTGCTAACTATAGCTAAGATACAGTTGACTTAGAATATTAGCATTCACTCAGAATATATTAATGCCCAACTTCTTCAGACACCAGGGGATGCAAATCAAAACTACATTGAGATTCTGTTTCACCTCAGTCAGAGACTCTCTCATTAACAAATTAGGGGGCTGGAGAGATGGCTCAGTGGCTTGGAGCACTGACTACTCTTCCAGAGGACCTGGGTTCAATTCCCAGAACCCACATGGCAACTGACAACTGTCTGTAACCCCCAAGATCTGACATCCTCACACAGATATGCAGGAAAACATTGATACACATAAAATAAAAAAAAAAATAACATTTTAAAAAAAGAAAGCAAATTAGGGAATGGGTTGCAGTAGGGGAAGGGGCTGGAGGAATAGCACGGTGGTCAAGAGCACTTGCTGCTCTTCTGGAGGACCTAGGGTTCAGTTCCCGAACACCCACATGGT